CCCCCCGGAACCCCCGAGAGCAACGATCCCGGCAAGGGGGGACCCCGAAACCCACCCCCCCGACATCCCTAGTCCCAGCTGAGGGACTCCCGGGACCCCTGGGAGCGATGATCTGGGGAACCCCGGGACCCCCCTGAGAACCTAAAGTGGGGTGCCTGGAGAGGGCTTCTCCTAGACTGTTCTCCTGGGTAAGGGCTGTTAGTTGGTTTAGATGGCAGACCAAGGAAGCATCTGCTTTTCTTCAAACACTTCGCAGTGATCAACGAGGCAATCAATCTTTCAGTTCTCTGTTATTTTACACAAATGGTTAGCTTTATACATTTTTGGGGCTTTTTGTTGTTTTTTTTTTCTATGTTAGTTACCTTACATCAGTATCTTGGTGGTTTTGAGGTTTTATGAGCTATGTGTTGCGGGTTTGGAGGTTATATGGACTGTATCTTGGTGGTTTGGAGGTTTTATGGGCTGTATCTTGAGGGTTTTATGGACATATGATGGTGGGGGATGCTGGTTCTGCCATTTGACATCCCTGTAAGGATGGACTCGGGCAGGAGGATCCCACAGTGCAAACCAGGGAACACACTCATGGCTTGATTTTTTTCCCCCAAAACCAGGATTTCCCATTGCCAAATCTCAACCAGATCAAGAAGGAGGCTGCTGAGGAAGAGGAGGTGCTATGAGATCCCCAGGCAGGTGAGGAGGAATTCACTTGACCTTTCATCCTCTCTCCTCCTCCGTCCTCCAGCCGAATATCGCTTCTGGCTGTAGGACGCAGTCCCATTGCTGACGCCGTCCTCCCGGGGACGGATCTGGGAGGGTGTTTCCTGTCGTGTCCTCGTTCCTTCCTCCAGCAGGCGATGAGATGGGCATGGAGAACGTGGAGGAGAAACTCCACCGGCAGAACCTTGTGGAAGAGGCTATTTTGAAAGGCTCTGTGGAGCAGGTGTTCAACGGGGAGGACAAGCCGAGAAGGTGCCCCACAGGGAGAGGCTGTAAATCCACTGCCCAGAGCTCGGAGGAAGAAAGACTGACCATCTGCGAGGAGTGTGGCCGGAGCTTCAGTCGGAGCTCAAACCTGGTGGTCCACCAGCGCCTGCATGCCGGTGAGAAGCCCTACAAGTGCTTGGAGTGTGGGAAGAGCTTCAGCCGGAGCTCCCATCTCATCACCCATCAGCGTCTGCACACCGGGGAGAAGCCCTACAAGTGTCCCGCCTGTGGGAAGAGCTTCAGCGACAGCTCCACCCTCATCACCCACCAACGGCTGCACACCGGCGAGAAGCCCTACAAGTGTCCTGACTGTGGGAAGGGCTTCAACCAGAGCTCCAACCTCACATCCCACCAGCGCACCCACACAGGGGAGAGACCCTACAAGTGCCCCGAGTGCGGGAAGAGTTTCAGCGTCAGCTCCTACCTGATCCGCCACCAGAAGATCCACACCGGGGAAAGGCCCTATAAGTGTGAGGAGTGCGAGAAGACCTTCAGCCAGAGCTCCAGCCTCCTCATCCACCGACGGGTCCACACGGGGGAGAAGCCCTACAGATGTGTGGACTGTGGGAAGTGGTTTAGGAACAGCTCAGACCTCATCCGGCACCAGCGGACACATACTGGGGAGAAGCCCTATCGCTGCCCCGACTGCGGGAAGAGCTTCAACCGCAGCTCCAACCTCCTGACCCACCGGCGCATCCACACCGGGGAGAAGCCCTACGAGTGCCCGCAGTGCGGGAGGAGCTTCACCGTGAGTTCTGCCTTGATCAAACACCAAAGGACCCACCGCGAAGGGAAGCCCTACGAGTGCCCTGACTGTGGGAAGAGCTTCATCCGCTGTTCCAACTTCATTAGCCATCGGAGGACCCATGTTGGGTAGGTAAGGGCGTGGGGAGATGTGGTGGGTAGAGACCTGGCTGGTGGTCCCCACGTCTTCCTGGCTCCCCAGAGGGACCTGGGTGAATGCTGGTGGCCCATTTGCTGAGTTGGGCTTGGTGGTGGGACGCAGACCGATGGCAGGAAGAGTAGATTCGTTGGCTTTAGGGTTCAAAAAGTCACATCTGCTTGGTCCAATAATTTCTTCTGGTGGCTTCAAACAACACCCAATGGACCACAGGCTGCTTCTACAGCCAAATGGTGGATGGAGTTGTGAACAGACCAAGATTTTGGGACTCAGCTTCTTCAAGAAAGAAGAAATAGGGTGGAAATGGTCCCACAACCCTATGGGGACACAGCAGGCTGAGGTTTTCCTCACTTCCAGGTGTGGGTTTGTTTTTTTTTTTTCACATGAAGTTATTTGGTGGCATCATACAACCTCTGTCCTGCCTGTCCACGGTTCATCCTTGAATAAACTCCTGAGTTGTCCAAAGGGCTTCAGAAGAGCCCTGCAGCATCCTGGGGATGGAGACAGGCCCAACTCAACTACATTCAGCTACTTTCAGCTCTTGCTCCCTTTGTGCTGCCAAAAATAAACAAGAACTCGTCTGCAAGAAACTTCTCCAAGGCAGAAACCACCTCAAGAAGGGTTGGGGACATGGTGGGAGGAGGGTTGGGGATGTGGTGGGAAATGGATTGGAGCAGAAGGGCTGGATTCATGGTGAGACAAGGTCTGCAGTCATATTGGGGAAGGTTTGGGAACACGGAGAAACCTTGGGGTCATGGCAGAAGAATATTTGAGGTCATGGTAGGAGCAGGGTTGTGGACATGGGGGCAGAAGGGATGGGGAGGTGGGGGCAGAAGGGATGGGGACACAGTAGGACAAAGTTTGGGGTCACAGTTGGAGAAAGTGTAGGGTCATGGTGGGACAAGGTTTGGGGACATAATAGCAGGCTTGGGGAGAGTGCACGGCACAAGAGCCCCACTTAGGGACAAAGCGCCACCACCCCTCCATGTCCCCAGATGCGTGATGTCCCCCATGGTCATCACTGCAGAGGGGGCACCCCCAGCT